GTTTTGGAATGTCTTCAGAGAGGGAGACTCCACAATGTCCATGAACAGTGTGTTCCCTTGGCAGAGGGTGCTCTGCCCTCATCAGTGTAAAGAAGTAAGAACCTCATGTTGAGGTGGAACTTCTTGTGATTTAGTTTATGTCCATTGCTCCTTGGCCTTTTGCTGGGCAACACTGAAACGAGTCTGGCACCTGCTTTGGAGATATTTATTGATAAGATCTTTTCTCAGTCTTCTCTAGACTAATCAGGCCCAGCTACTGCAGTCTCTTCTCATAAGAGAGATACTCCAGACCCCTAATCATCTTTGTAGCCCTCCACTGGACCCTCTCCAGTGGCTCCTTGTCTTTTTTGTCCTGAGTAGCTCAGAACTGGACACAGCACTCCAGATGTGGCCTCACTAGGGCCGAGTAGAGGGGGAGGATCACCTCCCTCAACATGCTGACCTCGTTCTTCCTGATGCACCCCAGAATACCATTGACTTTCCTGACCACAAGGGCACACTGCCATCTCATAGTCAACTTGTTATCCAAGATTTCCAGGTCTTTCTCTGCAGAGCTGCTCCTTACTAGGTCAGCCCCCAAGCTGTACTGGTACTTGGAGTTATTCCTCCCCAGGGACAGGACCCTGCACTTGCCTTGGTTGAACCTCACTAGATTTCTCTCTGCCCAATTGTCCAGCCTATCAAGGTCCCACTGAATGGCAGCACAGCCTTCAGGTAGATTAGCCACTCCCCCCAGTTTTGTATCATCAGCATAAGAAGGTAAAACACAGTACTTGTGTGGGCCTCGATTTGTTGCATATATTTAATTATTATTCTGAAGAAGAGATAATAACCAACCACTAATTAAATCAGTGAGATCTAAAGAAAGCTGTTATGAAATTTTGAGTGACCTCTGATTCAAATGTAGTCTGTGATGGCAGGGAAAATGCCAGGCTGCCAATTAAAGGTCTGGTGATTGAGTAGATTAGCAGGAACTTCTAACGTTGATTGCTAGATCTTAAACTAGCTATTATAACTCCAGGAAAAATTACAAGTTTCATGTGAACAAGTCTTTCTCTAAAACAAACACACACCTGCTCAAAAAGCAGCAATATCAGCCTCAAAAAATATTAAGAAAGGTACTACTCGAGTTATGACTTCTTATAACTTCCTGGAACAGCATTTTCTTGCTGGTTGCCTACCTTAAAACAAACAAAAAAGGAGAGAAACAACAACAAAAAAGAAACAATAGCTAGAAAATATTAGGGCAATGAAAAACTTGCTCAAAGACAAAGAGATATACTAAACTTTTCTACATAACTATTTCTCAAGAAAATTTATTTTTATGCTTTTTATTCAGCTACAATTCTGTAAAGATATCTCAGAAGTTTCTACTGTAATTGCTGCAGAGGATTAAAAGAAATGGCCCCAGTATTTTCAGTGAGACAAAGAATATGAAGAATCACAATAATATTATAGAATAGTATGAGGAATGTAAATTACAATACCTTCAACAGAGCATAATTAAATTTTGTTAAACCTTGCTGTGAAGTGTATCTACTAGTCACGTTTAGGTTAAAACAGTGAAGATGACAACATATTTTTTCTGCTCAGGTTAACAGCTCTAGGTGAAGTTAATATGAGTGTGAATTCAAACTCCTAACCAGAAATAAAACCCAAGCTATTTCATCCTGCAATATTCTGGAAAAGAACAACACTTCTTGTGCGAAATCACTTGAATAGGAGAATCTTAGTGCCATATGTTGGTAAGAGAATAAATCTTATTTCTTTAAGTGGGTTCTTAATCAAGGGGAATTTTGGAGCACATAAAAATTTACATGTCTAAATATGAAAACTTTCATCAGAAAACTGAGTTCTCGCTCTTCCTTTGAAGTCCCACAAACAACTCCACCTCAGCAACAAGGTGTTCATCTCAAGTTCAGGAGCCCATGTGACAGTTAAACAACACCTAAGTTACAAAACATCAGATCTGCTCAGGCTTGTTTTCTAGGGTGCAGATGGAAGAAGTAATATCCTGTACTACGTGAGCATAACCTGGAACACTCACACTTGAGTGTGAGGGATCTCATTTCCAGGGTCTCCCCACTCTGAGGAAGCGCAGACACCCCATTTCCAGCAGAACTACAAGCTAGTCTGGAAAACAGGAGTTGGAACTGTTCCACTAGGCATACTACAGCCCTGCCAGAGCAAAGTTGCAAATTTCATGTAGCTGCAAGAAAGCCTTGCATGAGGATAGCACAGCCCAGTGGCTGGGCAACTTAGAAAGGGAAGGAAGAGCCATCAATTCATGCAAACAGTGAGGTCCCACATATCTGTCAGGCAGCTATGGTGACCATAAAGCCTGATGAGTCCTTTTAAAAAATCCTGCTATGGGGACCTACCTCTGGAGAAGAGCTTGCACGCCACAGCCTGTAGGCACTGGACTCTGCTCAGGCTTGGCTATGGGCTATTTCAAGGCTGTTTCTGCTGCGTTTGCATGTTTCCACCCAATTCTGGCATGCACTACAGAGGGAGATTGTGTGTCTCAGCCCCATGTCTTTATTGAGCCTTTCTGGGACTGGCTACTGAAGACACCTGTTTCAGCCCTAAATATGACAGCAGAGAACACAGAGGCTACATCCTGCCCTTTGTTCTTACAAGTTAAGCATTTCTGGCCCAACACTGTAAACACGTCACAATTCCCCCACCAACTGCAGTGGGAAGTGTATTGCATCTTCTATGCATTGATTTAACTCTCCTCTGTATTTGCTTCTGAGAACAAAAGTGTTGTCCTTGAGATAAATTTCCTTATCATAATAATACAGACACTAAAAACAATGAAGGAAAGAAAAACACTAGGAAAATAAAGTGTATTACTTAAACAAAATAATAAACCATAAATCACTACAGTGACAGGATTAAATGCGAAACCTTTAATTATACATTTAATCATTTGCCACCCTCTTATTTTCCTTGCAGTAACGTTCAAGAAGCATCAATAAGATTTTAATTTAAGGGTGATTTTACTTTATTTTATATGCGAATTGAAAATGCAATACACATAGAAATGGTTTTAAGAATAAAAATAATACTAACTTTAAGCTTCAACTATGTCGACATCTTATTGAACACCTTTATTTCTCTCAGTCACAATGATCCTCAATTAATGATACCCCTATGTCAAAACACATCAAGCCCATACCCTTTGCACAGATATTATATAAAGTAGAACTAAGGGGCAAATAAGTGGTGGCTTAGAAAGTACAATACTGTACTAAAATAAGAGAGTGTAATTCCACTGCTGAAGAAGACACCAAGTTATTTGTGAAGTATGGACAAACCTATAACCCAAGGTTGTATCTGCACCACTGCCTTTTCCACAGGGAGGCAAGAAGCAGCTGCTAGAACAGAAAAGTGTCTCCTCAGCATATGAACACCTTCTCCTATCGATTCCAGAGTCCAGCAACAGAGAGCAGAGCTGGTTGTTGATGCTCCTGTTGGGTTCAGAGTGGCCAAGGGAATTACCCTTGGCAATTTCTGTAAAAATTCTGTACACTAAATTCATCTTCCAGCACACTCAGAGGAGTACTTACTGAAAATAATAATAATAAAAAAAAACAAAGCAAAAAAAAAAAGCAAAAATAGCATAATTGCCCTTCTTCTGACTGGAGCATAAAGCAAAGTCCAGACAGCTTTTGCATTCAGACAGATCCCCTCAAAGAATATGGAGTAGGAAAGAGCCAAAATATTGCTTATATGCTAAGAAAAAAACATTTGATACTAAACACATCAAATAATAGCAATTGTGAAGGTACTATTTTCCTGTTAGGTATTTCTTTCCCTATCAGAGAGCAGTTGACAGGAAAGTGCTTGTCCTCTGGAGTACCTTTTGTTTTGTTTGCTTTATTGTGTTGAAGGCTTTGGCCAGTTGTCTTACAATTCCTAGTCAGGGTGGACTTTCACACAGCTAAAACTGTAACTCAGGTACTCTACATCTTCCTTTAAAAAAGAAGTGTCCACTGGGCCTGGGGTGCAGGGAAGATGGGTTTGCTGTGCTCATGCTTTTTGCCCCAGCAGAGTGGTCAGAAGCATACAGGGCCTTGCCAATGTTTAGGGTGCAGAAATGGGCAGGACCAAATACAGTGGGGAAACAACAGCTATCCCAGTGGAGGAGGGCAACATTTTTATTATGTCTCTTGTAGAGGCACAAACCACCAGACAGAGGAATCTCAGGTAATCTTCAAGTTTTGTTTGGATTTTCTGCCATATTAGTCATCTGTTTCAATTTGCATCAACTTTTTGAAAAATAAGTCATCCTTTGTACATGGGACTCTTGATTCTCTTGAATTGGCTTGTTGCTACTTGGCAGAACCCCTGGCTCACTGCTGTGAACCGGAGGAAATTCTCCAGAACCTGCTGCAGTCTCTTCTTCTACCACCTTTTGGAACAGGCAAACCCAGAGAGAAAAGGGGATAATTTAATTAGGTTCTGACTATCATATAAAGCTACTACATGCTTGCTTCTCAGCTAGGTAATTTTTTCCATTGTGTTTTGTAAGCAAGAAAAAGTTGCCCAGGGAAAGCAGAGAACACAGGCCCACATCTGTAGGAATTTAAGTACAGTCAGCACTGGGAAAATGAGTTTTCTTCCTTTCTTTCCTCTCTTGGATCTCTTTTTGAATCATGAGGAGTTTGGACTCATTCAGTAATAGTTAGACATTTTTGTTTCACCCACCCAATTTGAAAAAAGCCCTAACAGCACAGTGTGCATTAAAAAAACCCTACTACACAGAACTGCCTATTTATTAAATCCCTGTTCAAGGCTTAACCTGAAAATATAGGAGGTGTCTGGCTTAGTGCTTCTGAATGCATGTGGGGCATCAGAGTCCTGGAAACATGAGACATTTTGATCATCTTGTTCTCAATAATTACTGGTAAGAAATTTCTGAGCCAACGCTTAAAGCAGGCTCAGTCATTTTGTACCTGACAACAAATCACTGAGATGACAGGACATTTACTCACCCTGCCAGCAAGATGATATGTAGGTCTTTGGAGTTTTTCTGTCTTCCCCTTCTCTAGTCCAGTCATGCATCAGGTTCCTTAGAGATACAGGACAGCCAAGTGAATTTATGTTTCTTGATCTGTGTGTAAGATGGTTACCTGTGACAGAGAGGACATAGAGACCAAATGTGGCATATGAAAGCACTGGAACAAACATTTCCAATCATACTGTAATTCAAGCAGTTCCTACCTCCTGCTTTCAATAGTAGTCAATATGGAGGAGTAAAAACCCCAAGAGTCGGTTTACAAATAAGCAACCGGGGGGGATTGTTGTTTAGTAAGGGCCAGAACCTTTTATGCTGACCTATTTAGTTGTAAAGAAATAATACGTGTGAGGAGAGTTTTCAGTGGTTTACTCAATTAATTCCATTAGTTAACAGACTTTAAAAAAACCCCAACTTATTATCCCAACTTTGTTTTAACTTTGTTAACTAGTGGATAATAAGTTGGGGTTTTGTTTGTCAATGTTAAATGCATTTACTTTTAGTTTCTATCCCACTGTTCGGATATTACAGCAATAGCCAAGATCCTTTCTGAAATATTCATTTAATCTCACCATTCTACACATAATCTCTTCCCTGTACCATCTCTAAACTATCTTTTCTACTTGTTTTTCACTCCAGAAAGTTTTCCTTAAAGATTATTTGCTTTTTTTTGTGGAATACCTATAGACTTTTCCTCTTTAAGGACAAACTGGTCAGACCTAATATATCTTAAAATTGTGACCAAACATTTCTGTTTCCTTCTTTTGCTTCCAGTACCACCAAGTGAGTTGAGTGAGTCCAGTTCAAAGTCAAGTTTGATAATCGTCTATGGCACTTTTCTGCTCCATTTCCTTCAGAAATACTATGCATCTGGTAAAGAAGCAGAAGAGGAGAATTTGGAACACATGCACAGATGATATCCTCTATGGCCACTGGGCTGCGATAGGTCAAGGGGAGAAAAGCAAACGTGCCAACTCCCAAACATGCTGCACTTAAGAATATTATAAAAAAGCTGAAATGGGCAAATTGTCTAACTTTGTAGATCTCTCCTGAATAACTTTTCTGTTTTGCCAACTGAATAGCCAAAATAGGAATAATTCAGAAAAAAAAAGAAACCAAGAATAGATTATTATTTTAATTGTCTCACAAAGTCTCAAATACAAAGGACTTTCACTAGGGTTTACTTTGGAGGTAAAATTGGAAACTTCTCTTCAGAGAGCTTTCTATTAAAGGTCATGGGTATCAAAACCTATCGTCTCACTTTAGATCAGTTATAAACCTACTATAAATAAAGTCTTCTATATTGCACATTGTCATTGATTCGCACTTCAGTGTAATCAGCACTGCAGACACAGGAAATTCCCAAAATAAACATCAGTATTCTCTCCTTACTGCACTTAAAAAGGATCAGGAGTTCTGCATTTATATTTTAAGATATTCATTGCAATAAGTAATTAATTGTAATTTAAGATATGCATTGTACTTGCTATTGAACAAATTATTTTATTATGGTTTAGATGAACAAATCTACTGTATCAAAATACACTGTAACTATGACAACAGTAATTCATAGTTTACCACTGTCTTTACAACTAAGCAAATTATTGTAATTTTGCCGAACTGTTTCTTGATAATAAAAATGTGATAATTTGCAAGCAGTACTATTAGCATTTACTATCTTAGAACTAGGCCAATATCTTCTATGACAATTGTAAATACATCAATGTCTTTACTGGATAAAACCAGACCATACAGATGGAAAATACAGTGCCTATTCTACTGAAGCTGCTAGAGAACTTATGGTGACTGTTCCAAAGTTCTGGCTAAAAAAGAAAAAATTCAAGATAAAAAAAATAAAAAAAATGTAATAAATTTACTCACATGCAAATGAAAAATCATGCTAAAAAATAAAACCTTGTGGAAGTAGATTGTTTTCACATCCTTCGCATTACCCTGATATATCCTGCTGAAAAAGACTTGGGGATGTGAAGATGAAAGTAAGAAGAATGGCATGAAAAATCTAAACCAAGGATATTCATCAACTTTTTTGACAGTTCAAACTGAAATGTGTCTCCTGAAAGCCAAGACAGCAAAAAGGTCCAGAAGAGGAAGCTGCTTCCCCAGCACACTGGGACTTCCCAGCTCGCCAAGTGGGAAGTCATGCAGGCACAGCAGATGGGCAGCAGAGGATGGAGGGGCTGTGAGGGCTACTTGGGAGCAAAGCAGAACTTCCTCATCCTGGCCTGCTTGGATGAAATTGGGGAAGCCAGAGCTCAGCTGGATTTGAAATGGGTGAGGAACACTGAGGAACACGAGAAGCAACCAGATGAGCATCTAGGGGAACAAAAGGACAACTGAAGAAAAGGTTGTTGGGAAAGGCTGGTGAATGTCCATCCTCCAAATTCAGCTGAGCATGGCCGTGAGCAATGTTATGTAATTTTTTCTTGCCTGGGTTAAGACACTATTGATGCCCTCCAGAGGTCTGTTCTAACCAACACAATGCTGCGTTTCTCTGACATACCTAACTTGCCTGCAGTTTTCTTCCCTCTGAATAAAAGAAGGGCAAAAGTAAGAAGAAAAACCAGGGGGGGAAAAAAGTAAAAAATATCTCATTTTTAATAATTTTTTCAAAGAAAGAATACTGAATTAAAAAACAAACAAACAACAAACAGACAGGTGAAACTACTAGACCACTACTAATTGCAGTTTGATTTTTATCTTTCACTCTCTATTACCTGTATGATTTTGTAAGCCATTCATCTTGTTCTGCTTTTTTCCTTTTACTGAATTAGTGCAGACTGACAAAAAAAAAATCACTGATGACCTAGTTCTCAGCAGACTTTTGACTGATCAAGTCTAGGTAAGTGTTAGGATTGATGAGCCTGGTTTGGTAGGCAGTTTTCCCTGTGCCACATACTGTCAGTTCACGAGACATTCTAATAAGTGGCAATACACAGGTCATGAGTCCAGCCTTCACAAAAGGACTTACAGGGGCCCTGCATTTCATGTGATGTTTCTCTGATCAGAAAACTTCCACTGTACCATGGGATGGCACTAGACTGTAGGCACTATAATTTCTCCAGGTGCATGGTCCATCAGTTTCTCCCTCTTTGCCTCTTCATGTTTACCAAAAACAAGTGCAAGAATTTACCCTCATACACTTTTCAAGCCTGAGTAAGCAGGTTAATTATCCAGACAAAATACCATTGATTTGAAAGTGTCTGAACAAATGAAATTCAGGCTTGACAACCTCATTGAGAAGGACAGCCAACCTGCTCAGGGACTTTTCAATTGCGTTACTTACAATGCTTGTTTCTTTATTTCAGGGTCATCTGATGCAATACAGAGCAACCTCTGGTATTGCAGTCACACAGCTTCTTTTGAAACCAGAGAAGACTTTGCTTAAGATGCAGACCTTCAGCTTCCTCTGAATTCAAGAGCAATCTATGTGCACCCACAGAAAATATATGAATCAGGGAAGTGCACAGCAGTGCTGAAAAAATAAAATGGCGAGCTTAATTTAGCACCCACTCAAATGAATGGGACCATGTACGTCTATGAATGTGATACCCTTAAACATGAAGTAAATCTCACACTCTATCATTGACTTCTTCTTGGACCATAAATTCAAGTTTTTTAATGTCATTATGCCATACCAAAGACTCATTTTCTAATAAGCCATGCCTTGTTTTCTTCAGTATTTCCAAGCTTAAGAATTTAGACAATGGACAATGATCTTCCACAGTATTCACTTTTATCACAGCAGTCATACTACAAAATAGAGACTGTCTTATACTACATTTACTAAATGTAGATAGGAAGCAACTTTCCAACTATTACTCATTATGTTATCTGTTATAATAGTTGAACACCAATGAGTTGCAGATCCAACAAATATCCAAAAATGGCTCTGCAAAAAGCCCTAACATTAAGTTCTTGACAGATAATAACTAATGCTGTACACCCCTACTCTTTATGTTATGAACAATATGTTCACAACATAATATATATTTATGCAGAAGAAACCAGTATTTAAAACTCTTACATTTATCATAAAAATAGATTTTATTACACAAAACAGTGCTTTCCGATAAGAGATTTACAATTGATTAAAAAGGATGGTTTGTCCTAAAACACTTACATGATTGCATGCAAGGAAAACAGATGGTCCGTGTAACAGTAATTTGATTTCTTCCAGTAAACATTACTCATGATATAGAAAATGCTTGTGCTGATCTACTCCAGAATGATGTGTGTGCTTTGCATCTCTTTTCAAATGAAGCCTGTAATTCTGTTCAAGGAACAGCACCGCAGTTCTGGTTTAGTAACAAATCTAATAAAATCATATAGTCTAATGCATCATTCCTTACTTAAGAGCCTGACAGCAGAAAGATAGATTTTAACTTTTCACTCTCCCAAAAGTGCTTAACATAATGCCGTGTTCCTTACACATTTAGTCCTTTTGTAACACTTCACGACAAAAAAGAATATTATTTCTACCTTCATCTCTGACTAAAAGAAGCATCATAAGCCAAAATCCAATGTTTATTCTCTTCTGGCTGCATTTAACATTATTCTCCTTTTTATAACTGCAGGCATACCAGAAGGGGAGAAAAGTCTTATTGATAAGTCTTCATCTGTCCACCTCAAATTTTGTTGTACCTCTCAAGTCACAAGAAAGCTGCTCAGGAAACTTCAGCATCCACATTTCCCAACTTTACTCAAGCTTTATCCTTCCCCAACACTGGATGAAGTGTTGTTTGCCTTTGTAAGGCAGACAGCCCTCATGAGGTCGTCTAAATCACTGAAGTTCTTGGGATCAAACTGCCAATGGAAACTCCGTCACTTGTTTATACAGGATGACAGTCTGGGGTGATAAATGATTAATTTTGCCTTTTACAGATCTTTTTGCATGGGTTGAATACAGACAGATCTTTCTCAAAGGCACAAATTTAACCCCTAAGACTGCATTCTTAAATCTGTCCCTATTTTTTACAGAGACTTCACACGTGGGTATGTTTCATCATCTGCAAGTAATAACATGCCTGCTGGGATGTAACCCTATTTGTCATTATCTTGTCGTGTTTGATTACTGTCTCTTCACCTGACTGGCCT